GATAGATAGATAGATAGATAGATAGATAGATAGATAGATAGACAGAGACTGACCGACTGACCAACCGACCAAAGATAACATCTACTTGGTAGATGGATGGACGGCATGGTCCTTGTAGTCTCTTCCAACTCTACAATTCTATGATTTGTACACAGCTCTAACCCAGTGGTGGCTGGTGGATCTGCCATAACAGAAGAAACACATTTATACTTGATTTTCCTGCTGCTCTTTCCACATCTCCTTCAAGTTGTCTGGGAGCTCCCCCATGCTGAACCCTATCTCTTCAGAAGTTCAGCACTGTCAGAGCTCCAATGCAACTTGGAGCAATTTCAGCAAGAGTAGTGTTTGAACCAAGAGTGCATTTGCCCTTCCAGGGGTAGAAGATCCATGGGCTGCTCCTGCTCATACAGAAGCCACCTTCAAGTGCAACCTTGTTGCTCAAACCAGAAAGCTCAGACCTGAAGCTGCATTTTGCAGGGGAAAGTGTGACAACAAAGCACAATTCTTTGACTCTCATCCATTAAAAAAATGACCTCCCCTACCCCAACCCCCCAAAAACCCAAAAAACACCCAAACAGGAGCTGTGTCATGACTCTCCCAATGTAAAATATAGTTTGTTTCCACATCATCTGTTGTAACAGTCTCACAGCCCAGGAGAACAGAAACCCAAGCATATGACAAGTGTGATTTCTGTGCATTTTCATTTCCTTCCCTTTTTTCACCTGTCAGTACATGGTTTTATTTGTTCTTTGGTTTGGCAGAAAGCCACTTTCTCCCTGCCTAACTCAGGATGGCAGAGTTTGTGTTTGCTGTGGTGAAACTGCGCCACTGACAGCACTGAACATGAACAGCAGCTCCCCTCTTCCAATGCAGATCTAAAATCTGAGTCCAGTCTTGTTACTAAAGCCAAAAGCTGCAGCTGCAGGTGAAAGGACATGAGAACAATTAGCAGGCCTCAATAAGTCATATTGAAACTTTCTGCGGTTTTATATATATATATTAAGATGCAGAGAAAACCAGTTTCTCTCATGCTCTCATCCTTAGATCTTTGCTGCCATCAAGTGGTTGGTAGCACTGGTGGAGTGGTGGATTCAGGTGCTGCTTCCACACTGCACAATTAGTGCAATTTGACACTGCTTTAACTGTCATGGCTCCATCCTGTGAAATCCTGAGTTTGTAGCTTGCTGTGGCACTAGATCTCACTGACACAGAAAGCTAAATATCTCAGAATACTGCAAATTCCAGAATTTCATAACATTGAGTCATGGCAGTTAAAGCATTGTCAAACTGCATTAATTCTGCAGTGTAGACGCAGCTATGGTCAGAATACTGTGGCTTCCTCATTAATAGGGACTGGGGCATCATCTGCAATCCCTGCTGCAATGCAAATTAGATTGAGATGGTGAAGAGGCAGAAGGAAGAAATGAAAATCATGGCTTCTCTATTGTTAATTGCATCCAAGGTAAAGGCCTGATA